TTAAAATAAGGCATGTAGTTTAAGCTAACATTAGCATGCAGCTATAAAATAAGGTATGTAGTTTAAAATAAGGTATGTAGTTTAAAATAAGGCATGTAGATTAAAATAAGGCATGTAGATTAAGCTAACATTAGCATGCAGTTATAAATAAGGTATGTAGTATAAATAAGGCATGTAGTTTAAGCTAACGTTAGCATGCAGCCATAAAAAAAGGCATGTAGTATAAGCTAACTTTAGCATGCAGCTATAAAATAAGGTATGTAGTTAAAATAAGGCATGTAGATTAAAATAAGGCATGTAGTTTAAGCTAACATTAGCATGCAGCTATAAAATAAGGTATGTAGTTTAAAATAAGGCATGTAGATTAAAATAAGGCATGTAGATTAAGCTAACATTAGCATGCAGCTATGAAATAAGGCATGTAGATTAAAATAAGGCATGCAGCTATAAAATAAGGTATGTAGTTTAAAATAAGGCATGTAGATTAAAATAAGGCATGTAGTTTAAGCTAACATTAGCATGCAGTTATAAAATAAGGTATGTAGTTTAAAATAAGGCATGTAGATTAAAATAAGGCATGTAGATTAAGCTAACATTAGCATGCAGCTATAAATAAGGCATGTAGTTTAAAATAAGGTATGTAGTTTAAGCTAACATTAGCATGCAGCTATAAAATAAGGCATGTAGTTTAAAATAAGGCATGTAGTTTAAGCTAACGTTAGCATGCAGCCATAAAAAAAGGCATGTAGTATAAGCTAACTTTAGCATGCAGCTATAAAATAAGGTATGTAGTTAAAATAAGGCATGTAGATTAAGCTAACTTTAGCATGCAGCTATGAAATAAGGCATGTAGATTAAAATAAGGCATGTAGTTTAAAATAAGGTATGTAGTTCAAAATAGGCATGTAGATTAAAATAAGGCATGTAGTTAAGCTAACATTAGCATGCAGCTATAAAATAAGGTATGTAGTTTAAAATAAGGCATGTAGATTAAAATAAGGCATGTAGATTAAGCTAACATTAGCATGCAGTTATAAAATAAGGTATGTAGTTTAAAATAAGGCATGTAGATTAAAATAAGGCATGTAGTTTAAGCTAACATTAGCATGCAGCTATAAAATAAGGTATGTAGTTTAAAATAAGGCATGTAGATTAAAATAAGGCATGTAGATTAAGCTAACATTAGCATGCAGCTATAAAATAAGGTATGTAGTTTAAAATAAGGCATGTAGATTAAAATAAGGCATGTAGATTAAGCTAACATTAGCATGCAGCTATGAAATAAGGCATGTAGATTAAAATAAGGCATGCAGCTATAAATAAGGTATGTAGTTTAAAATAAGGCATGTAGATTAAAATAAGGCATGTAGTTTAAGCTAACATTAGCATGCAGTTATAAAATAAGGTATGTAGTTTAAAATAAGGCATGTAGATTAAAATAAGGCATGCAGCTATAAAATAAGGTATGTAGTTTAAAATAAGGCATGTAGAAAATAAGGCATGTAGTTTAAGCTAACATTAGCATGCAGCTATAAAATAAGGTATGTAGTTTAAAATAAGGCATGTAGATTAAAATAAGGCATGTAGTTTAAGCTAACATTAGCATGCAGCTATAAATAAGGTATGTAGTTTAAAATAAGGCATGTAGATTAAAATAAGGCATGTAGATTAAGCTAACATTAGCATGCAGCTATGAAATAAGGCATGTAGATTAAATAAGGCATGCAGCTATAAAATAAGGTATGTAGTTTAAAATAAGGCATGTAGATTAAAATAAGGCATGTAGTTTAAGCTAACATTAGCATGCAGTTATAAAATAAGGTATGTAGTTTAAAATAAGGCATGTAGATTAAAATAAGGCATGTAGATTAAGCTAACATTAGCATGCAGCTATAAAATAAGGCATGTAGTTTAAAATAAGGTATGTAGTTTAAGCTAACATTAGCATGCAGCTATAAATAAGGCATGTAGTTTAAAATAAGGCATGTAGTTTAAGCTAACGTTAGCATGCAGCCATAAAAAAAGGCATGTAGTATAAGCTAACTTTAGCATGCAGCTATAAAATAAGGTATGTAGTTTAAAATAAGGCATGTAGATTAAAATAAGGCATGTAGTTTAAGCTAACATTAGCATGCAGCTATGAAATAAGGCATGTAGATTAAAATAAGGCATGCAGCTATAAAATAAGGTATGTAGTTTAAAATAAGGCATGTAGATTAAAATAAGGCATGTAGTTTAAGCTAACATTAGCATGCAGCTATGAAATAAGGCATGTAGATTAAAATAAGGCATGTAGTTTAAGCTAACATTAGCATGCAGCTATAAAATAAGGTATGTAGTTTAAAATAAGGCATGTAGATTAAAATAAGGCATGTAGATTAAGCTAACATTAGCATGCAGCTATGAAATAAGGCATGTAGATTAAAATAAGGCATGCAGCTATAAAATAGGTATGTAGTTTAAAATAAGGCATGTAGATTAAAATAAGGCATGTAGTTTAAGCTAACATTAGCATGCAGCTATAAAATAAGGTATGTAGTTTAAAATAAGGCATGTAGATTAAAATAAGGCATGTAGTTTAAGCTAACATTAGCATGCAGCTATAAAATAAGGTATGTAGTTTAAAATAAGGCATGTAGATTAAAATAAGGCATGTAGATTAAGCTAACATTAGCATGCAGCTATGAAATAAGGCATGTAGATTAAAATAAGGCATGCAGCTATAAAATAAGGTATGTAGTTTAAAATAAGGCATGTAGATTAAAATAAGGCATGTAGTTTAAGCTAACATTAGCATGCAGTTATAAATAAGGTATGTAGTTTAAAATAAGGCATGTAGTTTAAGCTAACATTAGCATGCAGCTATAAAATAAGGCATGTAGTTTAAAATAAGGCATGTAGTTTAAGCTAACGTTAGCATGCAGCCATAAAAAAGGCATGTAGTTTAAGCTAACTTTAGCATGCAGCTATGAAATAAGGCATGTAGATTAAAATAAGGCATGTAGTATAAAATAGGTATGTAGTTTAAAATAAGGCATGTAGTTTAAAATAAGGCATGTAGATTAAATAAGGCATGTAGTTTAAGCTAACATTAGCATGCAGCTATAAAATAAGGTATGTAGTTTAAAATAAGGCATGTAGATTAAAATAAGGCATGTAGATTAAGCTAACATTAGCATGCAGCTATGAAATAAGGCATGTAGATTAAAATAAGGAATGCAGCTATAAAATAAGGTATGTAGTTTAAAATAAGGCATGTAGATTAAAATAAGGCATGTAGTTTAAGCTAACATTAGCATGCAGTTATAAAATAAGGTATGTAGTTTAAAATAAGGCATGTAGATTAAAATAAGGCATGTAGATTAAGCTAACATTAGCATGCAGCTATAAAATAAGGCATGTAGTTTAAAATAAGGTATGTAGTTTAAGCTAACATTAGCATGCAGCTATAAAATAAGGCATGTAGTTTAAAATAAGGCATGTAGTTTAAGCTAACGTTAGCATGCAGCCATAAAAAAAGGCATGTAGTATAAGCTAACTTTAGCATGCAGCTATAAAATAAGGTATGTAGTTTAAAATAAGGCATGTAGATTAAAATAAGGCATGTAGTTTAAGCTAACATTAGCATGCAGTTTAAAATAAGGCATGTAGTTTAAAATAAGGCATGTAGATTCAAATAAGGCATGTAGATTAAGCTAACATTAGCATGCAGCTATAAAATAAGGCATGTAGTTTAAAATAAGGTATGTAGTTTAAGCTAACATTAGCATGCAGCTATAAAATAAGGCATGTAGTTTAAGCTAACTTTAGCATGCAGCTATAAAATAAGGTATGTAGTTTAAAATAAGGCATGTAGATTAAAATAAGGCATGTAGTTTAAGCTAACATTAGCATGCAGCTATGAAATAAGGCATGTAGATTAAAATAAGGCATGTAGTTTAAAATAAGGTATGTAGTTCAAAATAAGGCATGTAGTTTAAGCTAACATTAGCATGCAGCTATAAAATAAGGCATGTAGTTTAAAATAAGGTATGTAGTTTAAGCTAACATTAGCATGCAGCTATAAAATAAGGCATGTAGTTTAAAATAAGGCATGTAGTTTAAGCTAACGTTAGCATGCAGCCATAAAATAAGGCATGTAGTTTAAGCTAACATTAGCATGCAGCTATAAAATAAGGCATGTAGATTAAAATAAGGCATGCAGCTATAAAATAAGGTATGTAGTTTAAAATAAGGCATGTAGATTAAAATAAGGCATGTAGTTTAAGCTAACATTAGCATGCAGTTATAAAATAAGGTATGTAGTTTAAAATAAGGCATGTAGTTTAAGCTAACATTAGCATGCAGCTATAAAATAAGGCATGTAATTTAAAATAAGGCATGTAGTTTAAGCTAACGTTAGCATGCAGCCATAAAAAAGGCATGTAGTTTAAGCTAACATTAGCATGCAGCTATAAAATAAGGCATGTAGTTTAAAATAAGGCATGTAGATTAAAATAAGGCATGTAGATTAAGCTAACATTAGCATGCAGCTATGAAATAAGGCATGTAGATTAAAATAAGGCATGCAGCTATAAAATAAGGTATGTAGTTTAAGCTAACATTAGCATGCAGCTATAAAATAAGGCATGTAGTTTAAAATAAGGCATGTAGTTTAAGCTGACGTTAGCATGCAGCCATAAAAAAAGGCATGTAGTATAAGCTAACTAAAAAAAGGCATGTAGTTTAAACTAACTTTAGCATGCAGCTATAAAATAAGGTATGTAGTTTAAAATAAGGCATGTAGATTAAAATAAGGCATGTAGTTTAAGCTAACATTAGCATGCAGCTATAAAATAAGGTATGTAGTTTAAAATAAGGCATGTAAATTAAAATAAGGCATGTAGTTTAAGCTAACATTAGCATACAGTTATAAAATAAGGTATGTAGTTTAAAATAAGGCATGTAGATTAAAATAAGGCATAACATAAAGACGTATGACGTATTGACGTAGCGTGTGTGTGTGCGTTGGGTGCGAAAATTAAACATGGCAGCGCGCCGCTGCTAGAAAAAGATTAACTTATCCGTAACATCCTAATTCAAAAACCTGGATTTCAATTCGGACCTGGACCAACTGGAGGATTACATTGACCATCACTTCAACAGACTTTGTACAATGGGCCGATCACGCAAAGCCAAAAAACCACGCACTTCGGATTCTCCCTTATCAACCGATTCACCGTTATCACCAACATCACCAGCATCCACTCCTACCGAAACAAACTGCTGTTCCGACATACTTTTATCAATCAACGAGCGCTTATCTAACCTGGATTCTAGACTCTCACTAATCGAAGTACTGCACAAAGAATTTCAAAACATCCGCCATAGCCTGGAATACAGTCAACAACAAGTCGATTCGCTCACAGAAGAAAACAAATCACTGAAAAGCTCCGTGGACACACTCACTGCAAAACTTTCCACTGTAAACACTCAACTTACCTCCGTCATCGCTGAGAACAAAGCCATGCAAGAAACTATCCTGGATATACAGTCACGAAGTATGAGAGACAATCTAATCTTCTCCGGCATTCCCGAATCATCCACCGAAGACCCCGAAAAATCTGTTAAGGACTTCATGGTTAACCAGCTCAAACTTACACCAGAGACTGTAGAGCACATCACTTTCCATCGCGTTCACCGTTTAGGACAGAAACCCATCAACTCCACCCGTTCCCGGCCCATCATCGCCAAATTTGAACATTTCAAGCAAAAAGTACTGGTTCAGCGACAAGGACGGCAGCTCAAAGGGACTCATTACGGACTCAACGACCAATATCCACAAGAGATCATCCGCAGACGTAAGCTACTTTTCCCCATCCGTAAGACAATGATCAATCAAGGTAAAAAAGCAATCATCACAGTGGATAAATTATATATTGATGGACAATTGTTTAGAGACAAAGACACTACTCCCTGGCTTTACTAACTATTGAAACTAGCAATGTAACATTTCCAATCCGTTTATGCTCAATTTATATTCAATTCATAATCTTCATATTCTTTAATAAAACCAATTGCATCACGCACGCACATTGTATTCTAAATGCACCTAAATAGCCTTGCACACTGTTTATATGTTTGTTGCTGGTTTTAGGTATCTATGTTTTCCCTGTTTTATTTGTCACTTGGTATAATAGATTTACACACACACACACACACATACACACACATGCACACACACATCCATACACACAGACTTATATACTCACACAAGGTAAATATGAAATGTACATTATAGGTTCATGCAATTGAAATTCTTAACTTGGAATATTCGTGGAGTTGGTTCACAAACAAAAAAAAATAAAGTTTTAAATTACCTAAAAAATACACAAGCAGATATATGTCTAATACAGGAAACACACCTGTCGCAATATACACAAAACAGCTTAAAAACTACACATTTTAACCACTGTTTTTCCTCCCACTATAATTCAAAACAAAGAGGAGTATGCATCTTAATAAACAAAAAAATACAGTTTAACCACCATACAACCATTTCAGATCCTGAAGGCCGTTTTATCATTATTAACATTTCAATCAATAATAATCCAATTACAATTGGCAACATTTATGGACCAAACTCTGATGATTCCGCCTTCTTTGCAAATTTCTTTTCCTCTCTTTCAAACATTTCCAACGGTCCAATAATTATAGGGGGAGACTATAACACTGTAATCAATCCATCATTTGACAGGTCAAAACATACAGGAAAACCTTGGCAGTCCTCTAAAACAATAAAACAGTTCATGAGTGATTTTGGTCTTGGTGATGGTTGGAGGCTACAACACCCACTCGCCAGAGAATACACCTTTTATTCTAATGTCCACCAAACCTACTCCCGCCTTGATTTCTTTCTAACCAGTAATTCAATCCTACCTAATATCTTAGAAACTAAAATACATCCGATCATTATTAGTGACCACTCTCCAGTAACTCTCACATGGAATCCATCTGCAATACCAAAGCACCCCACCAGATGGCGTTTTAATACATCACTCTTGAAAGATCCAGAATTTGACAGCTATTTCAAGAGAGAGTGGACATCCTTCCTTGAAATAAATGACTCTCCAAAGTCGTCAGCATCACTGCTCTGGGAAACATGGAAAGTAGTTTTACGGGGTAAAATTATATCATATTCAGTACATAAAAAAAAAAAGGACAAAGAAAAAGAAGTCCAACTGGAAGAAAGAATAAAAGAATTAGAAATTTTACATGCTAATAATCAATCAGAAAGCATCTATATAGAAATTAGAGAGAAGAAAATTTTGCTTAATGAAATAATAAACAAAAGAAACCAGTTTCTGATTCACAGGCTCCGTCAAGAAACTTTTCACCATAGCAATAAATCCGGAAAATATTTAGCCAGTCAAATTAAAAGAAATAAAGAAAGAACAGCTATAACCTCCATCAGAAACTCGGCAGGGAAGCTAACCAATTCACCAGTTGAGATAAACAAGATATTTCAAGATTACTATATAAAATTATACTCATCGGATCTGGACCCAAACCAAGAAGACATAACCCAATTCCTCGATAACACTATTCTACCCAAACTCAACATGGAACAAGTAAACACACTAGAATTACCAATCACAGAAAAAGAACTTCACTCCGCATTGAAAAGCATGCAAAAAAATAAAGCACCAGGTCCAGATGGCTTCCCTGCTGAGTTCTACGAACATTTTTGGTCAACCGTATACCCACTATTCAGCAGAACAATAACAGAAATAAAACATAACGCAAAGTTCCCATCCCACATGAATACAGCACTTATATCACTCATTCCTAAACCTAACAAAGACCACACCTTCGCATCTAACTATCGCCCTATCTCACTTATAAATGTCGACATAAAAATGATTAGCAAAACACTAGCCCATAGAATTGAACAAATTATACCGTTTATAATCCATCCTGATCAGACCGGCTTTATAAAAGGTAGATATGCATCCAATAACACCCGCAGATTATTCAATCTAATGCATTACTCATCAGTACAAAAGAAAGATACTCTCATTGCCACATTAGACGCCGAAAAAGCTTTTGATAGGGTCAACTGGAAATTTCTATTCACCATGTTACAAAAATTCGGCTTTGGAGAGTCATTTATTAATTGGATCAAGATTTTATACACATCACCATCGGCCACAGTCACAACCAATGGACTAACATCACAAAGCTTCACACTGCACAGGGGGACGAGGCAGGGATGTCCACTCTCTCCATCCCTATTCACGATTTTTATTGAACCTTTAGCAGCAGCTATCCGCCAAAACCCAGCAATCAAAGGTATTGAAACACCACAACAAACACATAAAATCTCACTTTATGCAGATGATATCCTACTATATATACAAGAACCCCTAACATCCACTCAAGAAGTAATTAAAACAATCCAGTCCTTCTCAAAAATATCAGATTATGCAATAAACTGGAACAAATCTTTCATCCTCCCTCTACATAAAACCAAATGGGATGTGGCACCCCACCAAACACCTATACCTATATGTCATGATCACATCACTTACTTAGGCATTAAGATCTCCTCCAGACTGTCAGAGTTGGTAACACTCAACTTCACACCACTGCTAAAAAAAATAGAAGACGATTTGCTTCGATGGCTCAACCTTCCAATCTCCATAATCGGCAGGATAGCAGCAATAAAAATGACGATTTTACCGAAAATTAATTATCTATTCTCAATGATTCCAACCCACCCTACACTCACCTGGTTTAAATCACTAGACTCCATTATCACTCACTTCTACTGGAAAAATAAAACGCCAAGGATAAAACTCACTACACTACAAAAAAGTAAGGTTCAAGGAGGACTAGAAGCACCAAATTTCCAATATTACTCAATGGCTAACCAACTGCAATACATATACAAATGGATTCACCCCACCCAATCCGATATTATATGGCTAGATATAGAACAATCACTATGCAAAGAATTAAATATAGCTGACATACCGTTCCTCACCAAATCAATCAAACAACACACATGTTTTAATGCAGTAACTATAGCTTCCACTCTGACAGCCTGGTGGAAATTTCACCATATCACAAATTCTAAATTAGTTCCATCTAACTTCACACCACTGTGGAACAACCGTGACTTTATAAGCAATAAAAAAACATTGAATTTTCACACATGGGCAGAAAGGGGTATTACCCACATTAAGCACATTTTCAAATCTAACACATTTAGACCATTTCCGCAACTAGCCCAGGAGTATGGCATCGGGAGCAACGAATTCTTAAAATACCTACAAATCAAATCTTCTGTTCTGACAAAAATAAACATCAGAGACACAACTTTAGAACTTCCAGCGGCAATATCAGACTTGGTCAACATTTCCTCCCCAAAGAAACTTCTCTCTAAAATATACAAAATGATTTCAAACCAACTTCAGACCATATACTTACCAACAATAAAATGGGAAAACGATCTTTCAATAGCTCCTGATGCCAGCTTCTGGACCCAAATCTGTAAAAACATCCATCTCATGTCCAAAAATGCAAATCTTCAGTTAATACAATACAAAATACTTCATAGAACACATTACACGGGCAATAGATTAGCTAAAATGGGTTTCACATCAGAAGTTTGCACACATTGCAATCAAAATTCTACAGATACATACATCCATGCAACCTGGCACTGCACTCCAATCAAACACTTTTGGGAAGAGGTCACACAGTCACTATCCACTATAGTTGGCTGCCACATCCCAATGTCGCCTTCTCTTTGCTTGCTGGGAGACCTCACAATAATCACTGATAAAACTATAAACTCTAAAATACTCCTCATAGCTCTAACCATCGCCAAGAAAACTATCCTCATGAACTGGAAAACTAGAAATAAATTACACATTAACATTTGGAAAAATCTTATAACAGACTTCATTGCAATGGAATATGCATCTCCCCTTCATAATTACGCATCTAAAACTGACTCCTGCCGCCCAACACTTTCTGACCTCTTACAGCTGTGAACCCTTTCTCGGTTTTCAACTCCAACTCCTCCCACCTTCTTAATCAACCCACGAAAATTAATGCATTTAGTTGTTTGAACTTGTTCATGTCATCATTGTTATTACTATCTTTACTGTTATTGTTATCGTTGCTATTTTCACTTTTATTTTTTCATTGTTGTAATTGCTGATGTTGCTGTCTTTTGCTTTCACCATTGCGGTCACCACTGCCATCATCATTGTCATTTATTATTAATATCATTATTACCATTATTATTATAATCATCAATATTGCCGTTGTCAATGCTGTATTGGAATTAAGTGTCATTATCATCACTACTGCAATAATTCCCCCCTTATCTCTTCACGGGTTTTTAATGCACCACAACATAGAATAGGGAGAAAAAAAAAAAAAAAAAAAAAAAAAATGTATATATGGAAAACCACACAAACACCAAGGCAGGCAAGACAGGCGAGAAGTGGTTTCAATGGGACAGCATCTCTGTCCCAATTTGAGACACTATCGCACTGTACTCTCTCTTTTAATGCACCTTAGACATTACACATAACACACAAAAAAAAAAATAAAAAATGAAAAGATAGGGACTGAAGAGATGTGGGGGAAAGGTATCTTACATTATCTTATTTTATCATCTTTTATTTTATGCAGGATTGACAATGGCAATTGGTACATAGGAGGAAGGATGGAAATAAAAATCAACAAACACAATACTGGCAATATGGTGGTAGTGGGGCGGAGATGGTAATGAAAATGGTAATAAATAATAAATGGTAACTTTGTTTACGCATACACACACATACACATACACATACACATATATATACTCACACCTGTTCACATG